CCGAGTTTTGGTATCCAGATACGTCTGAAACCCATGAACTAAACAATTATAAAGTCATCGTAGAGGCCCAGAAGACTGTTAGTGGTGTTGAAAAAACCAAGAGATAACAAATATGATTTGCCAAGAGATATGAAGTCACCAAAAACTCAAAGATTCTAGAAGTGTCCGTTAAGATCAAAGATCTAAATAGTTTTCTTTTTAAAATTGATAAAATATACCAATAAATTACATTTAAGCTAACTCTAAGTAAAAATAATTACACAGACACTTTAATTAACACTGGGGAAAATTACAAAGTTCTACTTGACAGTCTTTCGCGGAAGATTCCAAACAACACCAAATTTGGAAACTCGAGTCCTCTTAACCGAACAATTAAAGTGTAATGTGATTGTATCATACGATTGGAAAAGTTTTAAAACCACTATAACAATTGAATTTAATAATGTACAGCACATCATAGATTTTCCAGAAATGTTATATAAACCAAAATGTATTTATATTTTTTCAAAACATTTCTAGAATCAATTCAACTGGAAACAACATATGTTTTGATAATTTAAACTTGGAAACTATAACTGTAGAAATAATTCTTTCATAGATTATTTCCAATTCATCGTGACTTCACACCAAGCAATCGTAGTACCGGGACAGTTGTAACAAAGCGAACATTTGCAAGTCTCTATCCAATATTCTGTTTTGATGTTACAAATATGCCGACGAATGCATTTGAAAACGCTCACAGATCTCTCATGTGGGTACATACTCCGAAGTGCCCTGGCTACAGGTACATAATGTATGTGAAGTACAAGTGTGATAGAAAACTTTATGTAAGTCTATCTGATCAAAAAATTGAAAGAATAAAACAGAAAGGACGAGGACGGGACCAGGACATCTTTCAAAGTAATCTTTGAAAGATGTCCTGGTCCCGTCCTCGTCCTCTCTGTTTTATTCTTTCAAGTTTTGTATCTATTAACCAACACGCTCGTTTTCAATTGTATTTATCTGATAGTGAAATGATGTTTACCGAAATATAATATTTCTTTCTTATATAATGGTATATTCTATACACTCCGTGCGGGAACTATAGGGGGCGCTTTGAAGAACGCGCGCAGCGCCGCTAGCGGAGGAGCTGGCGTTCGACTGTGAGGCGCGTTCAGCAGCCTGCGGCGCCTTTTCGCATGCCAAGCTGTGGCGGCGGAAGCGCGCACGGACGAAACTTTTGCTTTTTGAGCCGATACGTTGAGGGTGACGTTGCATGAGTGCTGGGGCAGAAGGGCATTTAGCTGTTCTCTACTTATATATTGAGTTTGAGTCGTAATTAGGGGTAATTTCTGTAGTTGCGGCCGAAAAAGGAGTTGGAGTAATTTTCCGAAAAACAAGACGGCCGCCACCTTAATTGCTCTGAGTGGGAAATTTATTTCGCTCGTCGCTGTAAACCTAGGACTGCTGGAACGATGATATTTGGAGGCGAGTGAGAGGTTCACTAAGTTTGTGCACGAAGAGAGCCAAGTTTCTTTAAGACAGCAGGTGTGACAGTTATGTTTCTAACGAATAAAGAAATAAAGCTGTACGGGATATCCAATATTGGACCCAAAATGTTGTGTTATAGCGGGCTGTGCAAAGTGCAGATTTGGGCGCTAATGTGCTTGGACTTGACAGTAACATGACACAGCACTTATTATACAAAAAAAAGGTGGCATAGGGAAACCAGGTGAAAATTTGGTTTGGGCGGCGTAACTCAATGGGAACCGGTTTTGATCATGAAAAGGCTGTCAAGAGAATACCACTGGTCGGGAGAGGTGGAGTCTTTAGAGGTAGGAAGGGACTAGTGGACTGTACGTCCAATTGAAACAACTTTACGAAAGGTGGTTCCAAAGCCGAGAAAACAAAGTTGTCGGCCAACACACGGTTTGGCCGCCGAGGGCTTTTGCGGTCAGCTGTTGTGTAATAACCTGTTGTGCAAGGTGCTGATTTTCGGCGCACAGGTACTTTGACATGACCGTCACTTGGCACAACACTTAATATAACAAAAAGAGTTGGCATCGCGAAACCAGGTGGAAATTTAGTTTGGGCGGCGTAACTAAATGGGAACTGGCTTTGACCGTCAAAGGCTGTCAGATAATACCACTCATCGTGGGAGGTGCACATTTTACAGGTAGGAAGGGACCAGTGGACGGTACTTCCAGTTCGAACCACTTTGCGATAGGTGGCTCTAAAGCCGAGAGAAAAAAAAATGTTGTCTACAGAACTCGGAGTGTCAGCGTTTCCACATCCAAAAGGAGGCTGGTCAAGAAAGAAAGCACACCACATAAACTTCTATACTCAAACGTCGATTCTCCAGTGATTCCGAGTTTCATTGTTGTTTTCTTTAGATTTATATTTGTCACTTTTTTTACCTTTCGAATCTTTCTTCATGAAGTACAGATTGCGTGCCATACTTGTCCGGAAATATCATCGACACGTACGATGGGGACGAAACTTCTTTGGAGGGCATTCCTCCAACGAAATTGGCAATGCATACCTGCGAGTGTGGGTTCGTCCTATCGGCGCTGACACATGTAGGCGTTACTGGTACGAAAACAAACGCAGAGCGCAAAGCGGCAGTGTAGAATATGTCAGCCGTGCCGACACAGTGGCAGACATGATCGGGAGACCAAATTTCTCACGTCGTACGGCACGGGTCCATCGTTGTCGCTGTCCCACAAAACATCGGCGAGGTGAAAAACTGTGAAACTTTGTCTCCACGAGATACGACGCATAACTATTGAAGCACTTAAAATGACGCAGCACAGGCAGCACGTCATGCTGTGAACCCAGCGCAACCGCACCACTCCGACTTCAATGCGTACCAACGTACGCGGCGTGGTTTCGGTTTCGTTTTCTCTGGGGTTCTCGCTGCCTACCTTCGGTACCGGCCGCGCGGCGGCGCGCCAGTCGCGTCGCACGGAGTGTATACACATTGTGCACCTATCAGAAAGTCAACAAAAGAAGCTTCAATCAATCAATCAAGCTTTATTGTGTTCCCCAATCAGATTTAAGGGTCTTTTTTATGGTTAAACTTGACCTAATAAAACAGCACTGAAGTAAACAAACTACACGGCAATCCTGACCGCTATACTATTCTTGAACTTTTTAAAAGGCATAAAAAAGTCCACGTGAGGGTTAAAAAATTTGTGCGTGAGAATCATTCGTGTCAGCAAAGGACTGGACTCTAGATAAGAGGGGTAAAAAAAAAAAGGAGTAGACCTATTTTGTCGCTGGGGGACATGAATTGAAATCCTACTTAATATCATTGGAGAATCAAAAACAGAATTGAACAACTTACATAAAAACACCATGTCGCGAACTAGTCGCCTAGTTGAAAGAGGTGAAAGACCAAGAGTGCCCAAAAGAACCACATAATCATACAAAAACACTCCGTCCAATGCGGCGATCGTAGACAATTCTCACAAGTCGTCTCTGTATGCACTCCAACCTGAGCGCCCAAAGAATTCCATACCGTAGAACAAAAGTCTAACCAATAGAACCAGAGCCCGAAAAAGGTTCAGTATGCAGGTGTAATTCTGGAAGTCACGGGTAATGCGTGCATTTATGTTTAGGATGCGCTAGGAATCATTAATATCCTTTGAAACATGATAGTTAAAGTTCAGGAGGGAATCGACCAATAGGTGGTATTCACTGGGCCTGCAGGTTCCATTTTGCCAGGGAGCGCCACCGTCGGTCCGCCATCTTCGGGGTCACGGTTTGACTGGCTTGGGTGCGCGGTCGTACGTTGGTAGTGTGTACTAATATCATATAGTTGAAGAAGTTTGTACAAAAGAGAGAAAAAGGTTTATCTCGGGGGCGGGCCGTTTTACTTTCCTTGTTGCCGCCGAGTGCCGTGTGTAAAGCCTGAACCGCACGTAAGCAATTTGGCGAGCGACGGGACGAGACGAGCGACGGCGACAGCGACGACGACCCGCTTCGCTGCCGCTCGGTCACTCGCGCGACGAGGCAAACCGCATGAAAACGACGGGAGCAAGCGACCAAGGTGATTAGCGACGTTTTCTAGAAATCCAAAAAACCGAGCGACGCGACGACCGACCGTGAGAAATCTCCGTCGTTCGTCGCCGACTCCCGTCGCTGTCGCCCTCGCTCGCTAAATCGCTTACATGCGGTTCACCCTTCTCTATCGCTCGTTGCCAAGCTCAATTTTGGGATTTCTAGAAAACTTAGCGCTCATTGCTTTGGTCGTGTGCTCCCGTCGCTTTAATGCGGTTTGTCTCGTCGCGCGAGTGACCGAGCGGCAGCGAAGCGGCAGCGAAGCGGGTCGCCGTCGCTTGTCTCGCCGCTCGCCAAATCGCTTACATGCGGTTTTTAAATCGCTTGGGCAAATAAAAATGCGCCGGATTTTTTATAAACTGCGCACAGTGTGAGCCGCACGGTATGTTTCTGCACAAGTGCGAACACCGAAGGCACGACGTATGTACGACACAGAGGCGCAAAACAAAACAAAAAGTAATCACACCGTGCTGCAGAAGCACAAAAGCAGAACAATCAGTTCTTGCAAGAGCTACCGCCGTGGGCACAACGCGCGACATGGAGCGCTTCATGGAGCCGAGGGAGCAACGCGGCCGCGGTGAACGAGCCCGATGGCGACAAGAACGAACTGAAACACACAAAAAAATACTCTTACGGCGCTTCGAAAGCACCAAAGTATAAGAATAACCCCTAGTTTCGGCCGAAAAGACTCTTTAAAGCTGTAAAATGCCGCTAAACCACGCTCAAAAGGTCCGGCCAGACGACACCCGCGATAGAAAGAGACCTCGAAGATGGCGACCGTGGTGGGCGATGCCAGCGAACCTAGCGAGTGACATCAAGTGAATGTAACCTATATGCCAAGGCCAGTGTGTAGTTTCCCGTGACCTTCGGGAAGTGCGCAGCGATGCGATGTGGAGTCACGTTCACCGTACAGTAATGGGATGGTTCGTCAGGTGATTTCATATGTCCCAAATGTGCAGGACTCGGAGCGGGTGCCGGCGGCCTCGAGCCTAGACAACCTGCACGTGTGCGTGGACCTCTTCTGCGCCAAGTTCTGCCGGTATCGCAACCTGGCGCGCATGGCGGGCATGCGCCCCACTCTGGTGTTCCTCTCGCACCACGCCGACCTCAACGAGGACAAGAGGGGTAAGTACATGGGCCGTTCCGCGGATATGCCCAGCTACTGACACCAACAACAATTACGTGGAGCAGGTAACGTTTCACTGCTCGAAAGGTTACCAGCAACATTTATATCCAAAATCCTGTCAAGCGTTCGTTTAAGTTCGTCTAGGATACATTAAACAGTCGTTTCGGAGTGTGAACAACTTGAAGTTTTCGTAGACCATTTTCCCTACTCTGCTACGCTTTTCACAACGCCGCTTGTGCGCATATGCGCCGCCTTGACTGCAGAGTTCCGGATCTCGTAGGTTCCGGAGAGCGTTGCGGGACGGAAGAAACGATCTACGAAAATTCCCTATTAGGGATTTTACGTAGATGGTTTTCGAAGTCCCGCTAGGGTGGCTAGCCACCATAGTCCCGCAACGCTCTCCGCAACCTGCTACGATACCCGCCGGAAGTCTACAGTCAAAGCCATCGGCGCGCCGGTGCAGTAGCGGCTTCTTCGTTGCGGAGGGCATGGCAGTGGGGGAATCCGGTTTACGGAAACTCCCTATTAGGGATTTTTCGTAGATAGTTTTCTCTGCTCCGCCAGGCTCCCAGCAAGAAAGATGCCGCTGCGCACCGTTGGCCTTGACGGTAGAGTTTCGGATCGCGCAGCGGGTTGCGGAGAGCGCTGTGGGACGAAAGAAACGATCTACGAAAACTCCCTATTGTTCTTTGCTAGATTTGGCGGAAAAATCAATAAACAATAGAGAGTTTTTGTAGGCCGCGTTTTCCCCTCCGCTAAGCCCTCCGCAACGAAGAAGCCGCTAGTGCGCGTGCACGCCGGTGCCCTTGACTGCAGAGTTCCGGTATCATGGCGGGTGGCGGAGAGCGTTGCGGGACGGCGAAAACGATCTACGAAAACTCCCTATTGATGTTCCGTGACCGGACGCGACGTCACCTGATGTTATTACGTGACAGCATCAAGTGACGTCACTCTACGACTACTCGGTCACGTGATGTGGCAAACCAGATTCACCGCTAAATTTAGCGAGCAAATGCACGGACGAACGGACCGACAGATTTCTGGGACTAGTTCAAAGGAAGCTTTTGCCGCCTCTTTCCACTTTCGCAGAGCAAACGCTAGAGGGGGGGGGGGGGGGGGGGGTGGCCTCCTCTCCAGCGTTCGCTCCGCTAAAGTGGAAAGGGGTGAGTGCATTCATCAATACTGTCGTTGGGTGCTTGGTCGATATGGTAAAGCTCAGGTGCACATAATGTGAGGTACAGAATTCTGTTATGATTGGTACTGTACAGTACAATACTAGCGCTTGTCCTGTTTACCTCTTGTCCTTGTATTTTTGGTGCTATTTTATTTGTTTAACTACGATTGGTACATTTATATTTATAACCAATAGTGTTAGATTAACAGGAAGCGTTTCTTCGCTAAATTTAGCGGGAAACTACGTGTTACACTTTCGCTCTACACTTTGGGAGGACTGCTTATGACGCCCTTTAGTAACTGGCAGGATGGAAACGGCAGTGCGATCTTTTTCTGGTGCACGGCCTCCAGCAGCCCCAGCACGCATTCGCTGCCTTCCATCGTACTCTGGCTGCGTGTGCACGCTCGAGGGTCACGAGACACCGCCGAGAAAATGAGGGAGAGGAGGAGAGGAAAGCGCGAGTTCACGTCAGAACGCCGAGCTCTGTTGGAAGGGTTAGTGGCTGGACGTAACGCTAGGTGCCTTTGTCTCCACTGCACTTCGGTTTCGCTTTCGACCCTGTTCGACGAGTGCAGTGGAGACAAAGGTCGCTAGCTTTGCGTCTACCCACTAATATCCTTCGAAGCAGAGCTCGGCTTTCTGACGTCCCCTCGTTTCCTCCTCTCCCTCAATTTCCCGGCGCATAAAGATTATTGACCAACAACCGGCTTCGACGTGACGCCGCTGCGGTGGCTGGTGTCGACGCATGCGCAGAGACGCCTCACCTCACGCGGTTTCTGCGCACGCGCGGTGTAATGATGTGGGCAAACGCGGGCGGGCTTGTAAACAGCGCGCGCTTGGACAACTGGAGGACCTCCCTGGCGTTCTATGAATAGCCGGACAAGCTACTCCCATAAAACCCTCCACACTGTCCGCTTCGGTAGAACGAACGCTGGAGAGAAGACGTGGAGAAAACGAAACCACGCGAGCAGACAAGCTTTAAAGGAGGGGCTTGTCCTGAAATTTTTAGCCTGCAACAGACTATATAGCCAAAAACTCATTCTGCGTACAACGAGTCCGGGGATCTACCTAAGATCGTCTTCCCCACGTCTCGTCAGTGGTCGAGTCCCTCCGCGACCTCCTGCCGGCCGACTCCGTGATCATCTACTTCAAGCTGGAGCTGATTCGTCCGCTGGACTGCACCGAGGACGTGACCCACGAGGGCATCTTCGGCGAGTTCCTCTTCCGTGCCGACGCGGCCCCGGAGGCCCTGCGGTCGGGCGAAGCGGCCCGGCAGTTCCCGGCGTCCACGGACGGCGGCGCTGTTTTCCACAACGTGCTGCCAGGCGTGCTCATGTTCCAGGCGCTGCACGTGACCGAGGCCGGCCTGGAGGGACACGCCGTCACCTCTTACTTTACCGAGGCCTCCACCAAGCGCACCATTCAGGCAAGCGCGCTAGACGAGAGTATCTGCAGTATTCATTTCGCACCACCAATTTGTTTTTTCGCTCGGCAAGAACAAGCAGGAATGACCACCACTATGGCGCTGTGACTTCGCGTGGAATCGGCTATAGTTCATCCTTCCGTAAAGGTCCGTTTTCTCTCAGCCCTTTGAGCGTATTGTTTCTCTGTTAGTGCGTAAAGGTCCTATAAATGTAGGGGTCATAAGATTGGGTCATGGGTCGAGGTTGTCTGGATTGGGTTTCCGTGGGCGCGCTCGTGGGCGAGCTCGCGACATTCCCCTTTATGGTCTACCGTGGTGTTGGGATGGCAATATGTTTTCTCCGAAGTTGCGTATGGCTCCCTAGCTGGCTGGCTGTTCTAGCTGTGATATCTCGATGCCTCGAGGTGCCGTAAAGAGAGCCACTCGCGTGCCTTTCTCGCGAGTGTCCGCGGCCATGCCCCTCTTTGCCGACGTTGCCCTCTGCCTGCACGCAGGTAACGTCGGCGGCGCTGTTCTGCACGATGCACAGCGCGCGTCTGATGCCTTTCATGCGGTCCCTGCGCGATAGCTTCGGCACGACGGCCAACACGATCGCCGTGGCCTTCCCGCGCAACCAGGACGAGGCACTGCCCGAGCTGGAGGCCTTCGAGCGCTGCTTCCCGGACGTGCCGGCGCTCGCCAACCAGGCCACCGAGTTCAACGTGGACGGCCAGTACGCGCCGCTGGGGCGCCTCAAGCTCATCCTGTTGCTCATCAAGCTGCTCGAGTGACGGCTTTCTACATAGTCTCCCTTCTTCGCCGATCATCGCCCGAAAAATTATTAAAAATCCTCATACTCGAAACCCCGAGATACATTAACGACTCGCCAGAATATACTTTAGTTTCTTGCAATGGACCTTTGCCTAAAACACCTCGATGTGTTTAACTTGCAAGTAGCGTCGAATCCGCCGAAGCACGTGGCCCGTTCCTTGCGCATCTTTTGGAAGCATATGTCGGCGCAGCACTGAAATGAACGGAGCGAATAATGGCGCGGCACTCGCTCGAAGCACGTATCTCTCGCGTGTACCGAAAACAATGGCTGTCGGTACAAGGAAGAAACGCGAAGCGTAAATTTTGTGAAGAGACTAACTTTTACAGCGAAGCTGGTGAGAAGAATTTTGGGCGCCATATATATAACTGGAATTTTATAGGCCAATTATGATTTCATTTCGAGATAACATCGAATTTTAGCGGCTTTGGCTCCATTTAGGTTATTACCTCCAGCCGTTTAGCGGTTTGGTGAGACCGTATGAAAACACTGAGGAGCACTCAAATAACTTTTTTTTCGGCAAAATCAATTATTTATCTGTTTTCATCGCCCCCGTGAAAACTATGGAGGAAGAGATCAACCAAGTAGAAGCTTCTGAGAGCGCTGCTGCGCCTTCTCGAAAAAGAAAGCTTGAGCACAAGAGGAAATACAGCGATGTCTGAAGACACAGACTTACCATGACTAATATTTCGTGAAGAGCCGTGCACGAAATTGTACTTGGTGGTTTCATTTGAAATCGAACACGCTTGTCAAAGCATTTCTGCAAAAAAAAAAAAAAAAAAAAAAAACGCTTTTTGTTTTACAAATATATACTATGTATATATATTAAGTGGAGCAGGGTGAAAATTTGTTTTTAGAGCGCAGCTCTTAGGGGCCCGTTCCCGGCTTGAGCGGCGTCGCCGTCGCCGTCGCCGTCGGCGTAACCGCGCGGTGCATCATGGGAAATGTCCCATAATGCACCGCGCGAGTCCCCCACCGGGGTCACGTGACCTTGTGGGGGGTCACGTGACCCCCCCCCCGAGGTCACGTGACCCCCCGAAGTCACGTGACTCCCCTGAGGTCACGTGACCCCCTCCTCGAGGTCACGTGACCCCCTCCTCGAGGTCACGTGACCCCCTCCTCGAGGTCACGTGACCCCCCGAGGTCACGTGACCCCCGCCGATGTCGCGTGACCCCCCGATGACGTCATCATCACTGATGACGTCACCGGCATCCACATCGTCATCGGCATCATCACTGATGACGTCACCGGCATCGACATCGTCATCGTCACTGATGACGTCACCGGCATCTGCATCGTCATCGTCATCATCACTGATGACGTCACCAGCATCCACATCGTCATCGTCATCATCACTGATGACGTCACCGGCATCCACATCGTCATCATCACTGATGACGTCACCGGCATCCACATCGTCATCGTCATCATCACTGATGACGTCACCGGCATCCACATCGTCATCATCACTGATGACGTCACCGGCATCCGCATCGTCATCGTCATCATCACTGATGACGTCACCGGCATCCACATCGTCATCGTCATCATCACTGATGACGTCACCGGCATCCACATCGTCATCGTCATCATCACTGATGACGTCACCGGCATCCACATCGTCATCGTCATCATCACTGATGACGTCACCGGCATCCACATCGTCATCGTCATCATCACTGATGACGTCACCGGCATCCGCATCGTCATCACTGATGACGTTACCGACATCCGCATCGTCATCGTCATCATCACTGATGACGTCATCAGTGACGTCACTGATGACGTCACCGACATTCGCATCGTCATCATCACTGATGACGTCATCAGCGACGTCACTGATGACGTCACCGACATTCGCATCGTCATCGTCATCATCACTGGTGAAGTCATCAGTGACGTCACTAATGACGTCATCGGTACCCGCATCGCCATCGTCACTGATGACGTCATCAGTGACGTCAGTGATGACATCGGCATTGGGGGTCACGTGACCCCCAAGGTCCATGACCCCCTCCCTGGTTAGTTTAACCCCCCCCCCCCAGTGCCCTTCCCTCCTCCTCCTCCTCAAGAGCTGCGCTCTAATTCGGCGTTACAGGGAGTTGTAAGCGGCTTTCATTTTTTTACTCCGTGATTTTTCTACTCAGTTCTGTACACTTGTATGAATACAGAAAGCATACAAAACTCAACAGAGAGGGTAAAAGAGGAAAAAATGCTCTCCCCCTCTCACCCTGCATGTCGTCCACTCCGCCGAGTGGGCTGTAGCTTGCGTCCGGCTGGCGTGCAAACTCTGTTTAAAATCGCGTCATTTTGGGACTTTCAAGCGCAGATGCGCAGATTTTGGTATGCCAGTTGTCGTGTAATATTATGCTAGATAAAAAGACTCACGGGGTCCAATTGCGCTGTTACCTGCATGCAAAAAAAAAAAAAAAAAAAATAGGGAAAACTGTGTCAGATTGTCCAGTCTCTTTGGCTAAAAGTAAATCCGGTTGCTGCACCTTTTTTACTATACAAACTTCGTACTAGTGTAGGCCTTTAGCGACCATGAGTGGAAGTCTGAAATAATAAATAAAACGTTCTCTCCTGTCGCATTACACGCAGTAGTTGAAAGTAGTACTGCCGGCTGACTAAACTGCTATTTAAGTAACGGATAAAAGATATGCTAGTTGATCATTTAGCAAAATAGAACAACAGAGAGCTATAGGCTGATTTTGGAGTAGCCACAACTCTTCTAAGAACGCGAACCACTTCACAACGGCAGCCACGAGCGAAAGTTCGATGTTCGGTAGAGCCCGCCGATACAGCCCAAAGATGGACAACGGCAACCTCCCGGTTTGTCGTCTGCTAGCGGAGTTGGGCGCGTGCCCTCTCCCTCGTTTTACCCCGCCGAACCCGCTGAACTTCCCGGATGTGTGGAGAGGGCGCTGCGGTCGAACAAAATGGTGCCGCCCAGAGAGCGCTAAATTGAATGGTCCGACTATTTTCAGCTAAAAAAAAAAACAAAAAAAAAACTTTAGTTTTTTTTTTAAATTGAGGTAAAAATGTTAAACATCGCCTCTTTGACAATTCGGTGGCATATTCAGAGCCTTGGGACTCATGAGGTATTATATTGTCGCTTACCAAAGACTATGCGGGTATAGTCCTATACGTGGCGCTCAGTGGCGTACCAACTTGTTTTTGAGTGTGTGTGTGTGTGGGGCGGGCAAACAAGACCCCCCCCCCCCCCCCCCCCCCGGGCAGTGCCCTTGGTATTCCTTGGGCGCCACCGGCCAGTGTTTGCCCTGCCCAGTGGCGGCTTGGGGGGGGGGGGGGGGGGGCGGGGCAAAGCACATGCCTTGCCCCCCCACTCTGAGAACTGGAGAAGCAAGCGCCCCCTTGCCCCCCCCCCTCCCCCCCGCTTGGTACGCCCATGCATATGCTATCGACGGGCGTAATTAAGTTTAGCTTATCTTATTTTCACGTAATATTTTATATAAAATCTGAAATTTCGTACAAAATTAAATTTATCGATATTTTGAGCACGCTTTATCGAAAAATCCCATTTTTTTATTTCGTTCCATTTTTTTATTATTGCTGCCGATCATATTAGCTTTCAATTGGCTTGATGCGATTTCGCTTTTTTTTTTTGTATTTTTTTTTAGAAGTGATCGAAAGCGCACCCACGTTCTCGGAACGGACAACCGCAGTTTCCGCAGGTCGGCTTCGCTTCAAAGATTATAACTGCTTATTTTTCTGTTAAAAGGCAGGGGGTAATTTTTTCTTTTTTATTGAAAACACTTCTGTTTGGTTACATAATGTATGTTCTTAAAGGGATACTTCAAAGAAATTTGAAATATCCCCGTCGTGTTCAAAAATAGGTGGAATGTGATCCACAATATCCGTAAGTGACAATCGCACGTTTGTATTTTGATCCTGGTGGCTGTATTTTTCGTTATAAACGGCCCACTCTGGCAAGCGCTCGGAGAAGGCCCAGCTTAGAGCACGTGACATCCAGCGCAATCGTGACGTAGGTCGTCTCAAGACGAGCAAAGCTACTGCGAGGCTGACGTCGAGAGGATGGCCTAGTCGTTCCAGCCACCGAAGCGGCTGCTTTTGTACGAATTTTGAGTGACGGGTTAATCTTTTATAATCTTCTAGGGGGACAATAACGACTTCTGCGACACACAAAAGGGATTCTCGGGAAGAGGGGAGTTCCTCCTTCCCCCCTTCTCTCGTCGTGGCCGGAGACGAGACAACCTCCGTCACTAGCTGTCAAGGTTCCTAGACGAGCATTACAAACGAGGCGTTAGCGACATCCACCAGGTGCTCTTTGCTAATCGTTTAATTCATTTTAAAATTCCTTTTCGAGACTTTTTTTAACAAGATATTGGTATGTTCCATGTGATACTGCCCTTTTGAACACACATAGACCAAAAAATGAGCGCCGAAATTTCGTTGTAGTATCCCTTTAAAGGGGTGATGCAACAATTTTTGTACTTGGCGCAAATACCCCTTAAAACGGATCCCTGACGTTAATGACCTGTGAAACACGCGTTCGTTTTTTACCCCACGCAATAGAAGTCATAAAAAAAAATTAAAGAAATACGAGCAGCGTTCACCCCCTCAACTCGCAGCCAGAACAAGCGGCCACGTGATCTGGAGCCGATTATATGCCGCCAATGTTGATCATAGCCACGCGCTGGGGTTGGCAAAGCACAGGACACGCGCTGAGTTCAGACATTGTTATGGCTCGGCTCACTGTCGTCGTTGCAGCGATTGGACACGGGCCACTACCCGAATGCTTCTCGAGCTAGTAATTATTACGAGCCCAAATCAAGTGCCCACGCAATGCTCGGGTCCAATCTATGAACCGCATTAAAATATCGTCACTTGGGAGTACTTCAATACCCACGTTACGTCAACAAATTTTGCAAAGGAGAGATTGAATGAAAATGATCGATTTTGTCCTTGAAATTACACCGCAACAAAGGAGTTTCTTGGCCAGTGGCGTTGCGTGCGAGTATCCTTGAGTCCCAGTAGTGCCAGTGAGCTCGTGTAAAGTGAAAAACATTCCAATTGAATGTCGTTGCACCGCTCCTTTAAATTTGTAATGATGGCAACTGACAATCCTTAGTCCGATCGTTTCGGTGCAGAGGATGTTCCATTATCCGGTGTGTAAAGCCAGGGCACAAAGGGCGGGGAAAGCGGAACGAGCTCTTTATGTAGCCAGACCGGGGTTGTGCAATTCGCAGCTTGTAAGGCTTGAAGCACCTCGCCACAATACACAATTTTCGTTCGCAGGACGGCTCCTTAATACAACCGTCAAAGGACTTCGCTCACAAAAAAAAAAAATAAAACAATGAAAAGAAGCGTTGTGCTTTTCGACTTATCGGAGAAGAAAAAATCGATACATTCAGGGAAGCACGAAAACGAAGAGTGGGCCTCCGTACGTGCTCGCAAAGAGATACGCTCCTCACATATGTGGTGCATGCCAGCGCGAGCCAGGCCAGGAACCTAGGGTGACATTAGCACGAGATGTACAGTCTCCCGCAATATGAAAGACACATTCGCCGCGCTTTATTTTGAAAGAGAACCAAAAATTGATTTACTTCCAAACCCAAGCAATGTGTGCCTAGCCAAAGCGAATCTACCGTAGCTACCTAAAAAATCGTCAAATCGCTTTTCCATATTCCCGAAGGATATATGGACGCTTTGCAACAGCTGTGCATGGGCGCCGCCATAACCGACCTTCAGTTTTT